ACCACCACCACCACCATACACACCACCACCACCACCACCATACACACCACCACCACCACCACCATACACATCACCACCACCACCACACCACCACCACCTTCTGCGATGACTTATTTTTCTACTATGCAGATTTTTTTTCTCTGGTGCTCTACGTTATCTCTTTTACTTATTCTCATTTTCATCTTTTTAAAGATATCTATGATGGCCATGGGAAGTGCCGTAATCAAAAGTACTGGGAGTCGTTAGATGCTTTGCAAAAACTTCTCAGCGCCATTTCCTCGTGTATGAGTCCTTTAATTTCATCGAGAATATTACCGGGGGCCCATGTGTTCAATTAAATCTGCTTGAAGCGAATGAGCAACGGTTGCGGAAATCTCCTTGTAGCTTTTTGCATTGCTCTGCACCTCTGACTATTTCGTCCATATGTATTTCCAGGACATTGAGCAGCTCAAAAGAAAAGCTTTGAAGCAAAAGCAGTGAAGCATATTCTAGCGTAGAGCTCTTAGCTAGGCTTGCAACTCACTGAGTTGGAATACTGCATAGTCATTCATCACGAGCACTTAACGGAAATTTTCTTCTAAGTTTGGATGTATTTATAAGTTTAAAAAAATCCATTCGTAGCATTTTGTGAATATTTTGTGGAAAAATGTGACACCAAAGTGTGCTTTAATAATTTCAGATTTGTTCATCTTTTTTTATTATTAGCTGTAATCTATTTCCATTTTTGATGCTTTTTTCTCAAATCTCCTCGTCCCGCTTGGGTCTTAATTCTATTCCCATTTATATGCAATTCTACGTTTAGTAATATTCGTAATATTGACGTTGAACTAGCAAAACGAAATCATTTTTTTTTATTTTGCATCATTTTTCCCTCTAAAATTCCCAATACGTAACTTCTCCTAGCAGTTTTCTTTTTCAAACCTTATCCTTTCATTATGTAAGTCCAAAACATGTCCTTTGATAGCTTTTTATCAGGCAGCGTGTTTACCCACGCCATTCTCCTTAAATTTTTCACAAATTGGAAGGAAATTCATGAAAGCGAAATGGATAAGTCTGGTGCATTCAGAAACTGCCCACCTACTCGGATGACGTCATTTAAAGCCAGTTGAGTCAAGAATGACTTGACGTCATCACAGGCCAATACACACCTATAAATATGTAGAAATGGCATGGATACGTCCAAATCTGCTAAATTTGGCGGTTCGCAAAATGTAAGAAAGCTATCTAAATTCCAGTAGTTCTTGTATTCACATCATCACTTTCATCTTATTAAAGATTTTTTACAATTTAAACACGTAGCTATGGTGAAATTTATTCGCTAGGGAGTTTTGAAGTAAGCATTTTGCTATGCAACGTTTGCGAAATTCGCAGCTATAT